TGATTTTTACATCATGGATATAAATATATATAATGATGTCTTCTAACACTTAGAGTTTGTAGTCGCCAATATCTGTATTGCTAACAAATTATTACACAATGGCATCATAATAGAATTCCTGAATATTATGAATAGAAATCATCGTAGAGTTTCTGGACAATATGCTTTTGATGAAAATTTCTATAATTTAATTTTTTAGATTTTCAAATAAAATACAATTAGCGAGATGGTACTGTGTTAATTGTTGGAACCGAATCTTTAAATAAAAAAATTATCAATTGCTTAAAACGTTATTAAAAGGAAAAAAAAAATTTATTAAAATTATACTAAAAACTTTAACTTTTTGAAATAATAATATCTGTACCTGAGAGCCAACTTGTCTTATATCAACTTTTGGGTAAAATTAGTTATATACATATCTGAAATCTCCGTCGCGTATTCTATAGGGCAAAAATGACTTAAAATTTCTATCTATAGTGGTTTTACAATAAATGAAAATCCATAAATTCTTAAGTCCTTTCTGGCTTAGAGCTAAAAAATCTTAAAACACTTAAGATGTATTGACCCTAAACATTTTAATATACTATGCTACTTAAGATGTTTTGTCTATGAATTTAAGAATATCTCACATTGACAGTTGCACGTCGCCCGCGTGTTTTTCCGCCGTTGTGTTAAGATTTTGCGCCAATTTTAGCTTTTGTTTATCATTTAAAACATAAAATTACATTGTAAAGTACGATATTACTATCTACAAGATATCTGCTTTTAATAATTATTCGAAAAGAACAAATAAAATGGTGAACATTGCATTGAGAACAAGAGGAAAAGTTTAAGACTAGGTATTCACAATGATATAATTAATAAATAACGTATTGTTTATAATGCATTGCATGTATTTACAGTGATCTATGTATAATATATGTCTTCATAATCACATTTTTTCCTAACTAAAAGTACTTAATAGGTAACCATATTAAAAACTTAATTTTGTTGCAGATATTCCTTGTATTTCCAACACAGGAGCGTCAACATCTAATTAAATTGATTCTATCTTGATTATGCATCATGATAATAGTTGTATATCTGATTCCGATGATAGCTGTATAAATAAAACTAAAAGATGTGAGGTTCTATTGCATAAAATGAAAAGTATGTATCACTGTTCAAACAAAACCGAATGTTTTCTTTATGTAAAGCATCAATATAAAAACTTTAACTCTGTTGCAGATATTTCTTGTATTTCCAACACCGGATCGTCAACATCCAATCATATTGATTCTTGATTATGCATGATGATAATAGTTGTATATCTGATTCTGATGATAGCTGTATAAATAAAACTAAAAGACGTGAGGTTTTGTTGCATAAAATGAAAGGTATGCATCACTGTTCAAACAATATTGAATATTTTCTTTATGTAAAGCATCAATCTAATAATAAAAATTTAATTTTGTTGTAGACTTTAGGTACAACAAAAGAGTCGGAGTTTGAAGATTCGGGTTCTGAGTATATGCCAGATTGTTCGAGATCACTATCTGGAAGTATATCTTGATTATCGGATGTAGGTCAAGAGAATATTATCTCAAATATCAACATTACCGATTCGCTAGTTCCTTACTCGAGCACTGATAATGAGAGTAAAGACCGCCAACAGCGGTTAAGAGCAGAAATAGGAAGAGAAACATACATGCATGGAAAAAAAAGTAAGGAAACTGAACCGAGTCAGTGGAAAGCAATATGTTTCCTCAAAAGAAAAAACCAAGTCTTGTAAGGACAATTGTTGTTACAAATGCAGCATGCATTTCAGCATAGAAATGCAAAAATGTATTTTTGATGATTTTTGGGTGATTTTTTGATGATTTTTAGGTAAGTAATGCATCGTGGAACCAGAAGAATTAGTATATTGCTTCTTGCCTAACAATTGAATTTGTGAAGCAATCAAGAGCAATAAACAGTAGCAAAAATATAAACAAAACAATTCATTATAAAATAAGCAACAATGGAATTAAAGTTAGAGTATGTAAGACCTTTTTTAAACACATTTTGTATTGGCGAGTCATTTGTCAAATTTTTAATAGGTAAAATTCAGTCATCTGGCTTGAAAAAAGCAGATCAACAGAAAAATCATTCTCTGAAAAATAAAACCCTAGCTAGCACAGTCAACTGAGTTAAAACGCATATTGAGAAGTTTTTTTTTTTTTTTTTTAATTTTAATTCACCTCCTCAAGGCCGAGAAGGCCACTACAGACGAGGAGGCTACTTATTTGTGGCTATAACCCTCTCTCAACTCTATAACTCTGAAACACGAACCTTGACGAACAAGGCTGCTGCGCGGAGAAACGAGTTGAGCGCGGTACTACCAGGGACGTGGTGGGGATCGAACTCGGAACCACTCGTTTATGAAGCGAGCGCTCTGCCACTACACCACTACCGCATTTTTAAGTTACTTGCATACGAGAGCCATTACATCAGGGAACGTACTGCAAAGAAATATGTTGGCAGTGAATTAAACATAAAGAAGATGTACCATCTGTATATTGAAGAGTGTACCTCAAACCAAACTGCAATAGGGAAGGAGTGGCTCTACGCAAAATTTTTAATGAGTGTTATAATACTTCTTTTTATTCTCCAGATAATGATACTTGTGATATGTGTGATTCTTTGTTTAATGAACTCAAAGGATTACATTCAGAGGAAGAAAAGAGTGATATAGAATATAGAAAGAAACTTCACATGGATGATGCAACCCACAGGTATCATTTGAAGGATGAAGACAAAAAATTGGCCGCTAAAAATTGAAATTCTATAGTTTTTTTTATTCTATAGTATGGCAGACCTGCAAAAATGTTTGCCCACACCACATTTAACGAATAGGCAGAGTTTTTATTTGAGAAAACTATGGACATTTAAGTACTCTATATATGACAGCACAAAAAAAAATACTTTTTGCATGATGTGGGATGAAGTTCAAGGAGGAAGAGGCGGAAGTGAGCTTCTTTTTTTTGAAATTCATCCAAGAGTCATTGACGCCAAAAATAAAGAACATAACCGTCTGGAAAGACAATTGTCCCGGACAAAATAGAAACATCATGATGGTGATGTTATATTTCAATCTCATGAGTAAATATCTATCCCTGGAGACAATAAAATTACAAGTTTTTATTACGTTGGCATACGCACATAGAAGTGGACGCGCCCCACAGCGTTATTGAAAGAAGAAAAAAAATCTATCAAGACAATGAAATCTTTACTTGCAATGATTGGTGCAATTTTGTAAAAAGTTGTGAGAAACCTTTAACGCGTATCCCATGTATTTAAATTTTTTTTTTTCATTTTTTTTCCTCTACAAAAATAGTGGGACATTTGTATATAGAAAAAGCTCGAAAGACGGAACGTTAGCATCCATATCAACAATGGTATGGATGCAGGTACGAAAAGGAGACTACGGAAAACTCTTTTATAAAACTTTGTTAAAAGAAGAAGCCTTCTCTGCGATGAATTTAAGAAAAAATAAAAGGATGCCTGCAAAGATTCCAGCAACTCTATTATAATTGAGAGCAGACAAAAATCCCATAAGTAGACAAAAATACCAAGATATTTTAACAATCCTTCAATGGGTTCCTGAGGAATTCAAGACTTATTTTAGGGCAATCTCTTTTAAAGATGCTATTATTTAAGAACTTTAATATCTCTTTTTTTTGTTAATGTAATTGTAACTTTTTTTGTGTAAATATAGTAATGTTTAAAATGTGATTTATTGATTTTTTTTTATCCAAAAACCTGGTGTCCTTAATGAGAACCAAAATAACTTAACTTCACATAAACATCTGCTAGAAATAAAATTTATTAGAGCCAGAAAGACTTAAGTCTACAAATGCCTAAAACAATAAGTTTTTCACAAAAAGTGATTTTTCACAAAAAGTGATTATTAAAAATGTTATGAGAGATTAAGTGAAAAAAAATCTTTATTTTGCTCCTACTGTAAAATTTTTTTGAGTTAAGACGAGTTGGTTATCAGGTACAGATATATAACATAACCAGTGGTGTCTCGACACACTCGGTGATCCGTCAACAAGACTCATCCTTTTTTTTTAACAATTTTTCTAAATCCCTAAAATTTTTAACCCTAAATCATTTTAACCTTTGATCTCGATCCTATTATAGCCTCGGTGGTCCTCTGGACTTGTCTGGACTTGCGATAGGTTTATCGCGACGCCTCTAATTATAACTTTAATCTTGTGCATTCATTTAAAATCAAATCAAATATATTTCAAAATAAATTGTAACGTTTCAATTAAGTTTACAATAGTACAAATGTTAATTTAAAAAAAAAAAAAGCCTGAAAAAAAGTTTATTTAAATTTATAAATTCAAAAAAATATTAATAACTTGAATAGTGTTCATCTAAAATTTATTTCAACTGAGAATTAAAAATTAAATTTATCAACACTAGAGCTTTTGGTAATTGCAACATCACTTTAAAACTATTTTTCGAAAAAATTTCCTGGTTGATGAATTTTATTTTTTAATATTTAATCATTTTAAATTATTAAGTATTGGTAAAATTTAAAACAAAAACTTGGCTTAAAAAAAAAAAAGAAAACTCTCGTATAGTTCATCCTAAATATAAATTTAGCAAAAAAAATTATATATTTAATCTTTTTTTTTTAAAAAAAAAAGAATACTAACTTTCATTAAAAAATTTATGGTTGATAAGTTATACATATTTAAATTGTGTAAACTTTTCAACCATGAAATATCAGCTAATGGCGATTTAAAAATGTAAGACAATTTTTTTAGATTTTTTTTTAATTCAAATAAATTTGAAAAACAATTAATTGCTTAAATAAGAAATTATTAGACGTATGAAAATCTAGCAGTTTAAATTTCATTTGACGGCTTTTGAAAAAGACACTTCTTTTAAATCCGAGTTTTGCTGCTTATCCACTAAAATTTTTCTTATTTCTGCAGAAATGATAAAAACAAACCCCATAATGCTTTGCGAGACTTCTTGTTTTGCAAACAGAAAATATGGAGAAATGGCGGCCGAGAAAGACGATTTTTCGAACGTAAATCTAGTTTCGAAGAAAAGTTCAGCAGAATTAAATCAGCCTCAAACTGAAAAACCGTTACATTATACGTAGGTTCTTTTACTCTTTGCATAAGTTTTTTATTCTTGTCAATTAGTAATAAAATTTTTAAGCAAATTAAGTGTTAATTTTTATGCATGAGTGGGTACCTGCTAAAATCAAATGTATGCTCTTATGTATAAAATAAATTTTACTTTGCTTTAAATATCGTTTTACTGAAAAGTTATTTTTATGCTAAGCTAATGTTATTTTTCAAATAATATATATCTATAGATTTTTGTGTGTCAATTACGAAATCTCCATCTTATCTTTTTTATTTTTCTAATAAATTATCAGTATGACATTTTATGGCCTTACATTAATGCTAATTTATTATTCTATCATATATTTTTATGAAAAAAAAAATATATACTGATTAACATTCACATAAAAACATAGAATAAATGGAATGTCCATTAATTTAACTAAAATTAAAAGTGTTAAAGTTTTTTTTTTTTTTTTTTTTTGACTTTATATGATTAGTCTTTTTTAATTACGCTAGTTGTTGTTAGAAGTATTATAAAATGAACACTAAAAATGTTTTCAAGCCTAGTTTTTATTCTTATCAAACCACTTATTATTGAGCAATTTTTTTGTGTATTTTTGTTTTGTTTGATAGTAATAATAATAATAAAATTTATGCAATAATTTTTTTTTATTGCCAAGTTATATACCAATGTTTTTACATACAAAAAGAAGAAACAAAGTGGGTAATCATCTACAGCTTAATCCGAAGAATAAAATAAAATTTCTTTAAAACACTGTACCCACATGAACACTGAGAAGTAATTAAGCTATCATTCACAATTTGTGGGTATACACATATCTTTAAATTTAACTTTGCTTCTTCACCACACTGTCTTAACTTTATTTATTGTTACATTTATTGCCAAATTATTATTACTGTATCATGTTATTACCTTGCACTGATAAATCTCTATGTGCTGCCAACATACTGGTCCCTATTTTAGTAAAATTCTCTGTTTTTACTAAAATTCTCTGTTTTGCACTCCAGTATACTACATAAATAAATTATATTTCTTTAATTGTTAAATAATTTATCCATAAAAAATTGATTGATGTTTCCACTATTGTCAGACATTTCCTAAAAACTAAGGTGAAGTTTATTTCTAAGATGATTTTTAAGATGTTTATGATTATTAAACAAATGTTAAAAGTTATCACAACTTGAATTTTAATTTTTTATTTGCAAATCCAAAAAAAAAGAGTATTTTAACTTAATCCTGTAATCCTTCTTGTAAATACAAATGCCTTTTGCTAAAAACATAACATTTCTATGTACGTTCCAGACATTTTGTGTCTCATCTACTGCAACTTTACATTTTAAGACCTAAAATGTAATAAACAGCTTGAAATTTAATATACAAGAAGTTATCAGTTAACTAATCTACTGTATATTTCATTATATCCAACATCTACAATAAAATATACAACATTGTTTATAAATTTTATTATCTTAAATTTAATTCAAATAAAAGATTTAAATAGTGGTAAAATAAAATTGTTTTAATCATAATAGCTTAAATTAATTAAGTTAGTTAGTAATCATATTAGTGTAATAAAGTTTAGTTTTAATATAAAACTCAGTGTCACAAAGTTTTTATTGAATCTAAATTTTTTTTGGTATTTGTCAGACTGTTTTAAAATTTATCGTATTCAGGATTTAATTATTGTTTTCGCAGATATCAATGCACTTATTTTCCCCTATATAAAATTGTTTGTTTGTTTTTTTATGCGTTTATTGTAAAAATATCTGCTGATTTTTTTACTGCATAAACATTTTTTTAATATACTTATATTCAAAAAAGTGTGAATCATTTTTTTCTTTTATATCTGTCATCAACCCATATATTTAAATACAGTTCTAAACTAATGACAGTTTTTCAACAGATATATGCTACTAAGTTAAAACTTACAGAAAAAAATCATAAAAGTGAGTGATCTATAGTTCATATATTATTAATGCTAAATAGTTAAAGTTTTTGGGTTCTTTTGTGGATTCCTAAATATTAACAGAAAAAAAAAGTAAACACTTTATACTTAGGCTTTGCAGTATTCTGTAGATCGTACTGGTACTTAATCAAGTTTCTTTTACCACAAACTTAACTCTTTCCTGGTAATCAAAAAATAAAATAAAGTATAAATAATTTCCAAAATATGAGTATTTAGGCTATTCATTCTGCACTGGAATTGTATATTTGGTATGATGGTTCTAATCAATATTTTCTTTAATCTTGTTCATACCCTTCAGGTTGCATCCTCAAACTGGTCTTAAAATGAAGAGGTATTAATTGAAATTAATTCTTTTTTTTAATTTTATTTTATTAATTTTAATACTTTTCTATCTTTGAAACTCAATTTTGCAGTCGACAAAACATGTTCTCATAAGTACAATATCGAAACAATAATGATGAAATATTGACTGATATTAATAGATACTTTGTATGCTGATTTTTCACAAGAGATTGCTATCGTAACTAAGCAGTTATAAAACAGTTATGGTATAAAACTATTAAATTGTGCTGAATTGTGAATATGGTATTGAATTTTTGAATTGCAGTTATGGTTTTAAACAGATTAATTGCAACTGATCTATTTGCTTACAAAGTTACAAAATAATATAAAGATATTGTACTGCATTTTTGTTAAGTTAATCCTTTAGTTCACATGAAGTCTTTACAATAAAAAAAATTATAGACAGTCATTAATAAACTGTACAATAACAAATAAACAAGTTGATTATGTTAGATGGAAGAAGCTGGATAGAAATCCTTAAATAATAATAAAATGAGTAAAAGTGATTTTTTTACAAGTTTGTTAAAGTAACATGGTATCAAAATCTTATATTAGCAAACTCTGCTTCAGTATATTAGTCTAGTCCAGAAAACTCTATTTCAGCATATTTCAGTATAATCTGTAAAGATTTTATAGATGTTAAACTTGTAAAAAGCACAATTATTGTTACATTTTATTAAGATTTAAAAAATCATTTTTCAAAAAAAAAAAGCAAGCATATATTAAAAAAAAAATTTATATAAAATATATTAGTTATTAAAAAGTAAAATTAGATAAATTATCTTATTATTATTTATAATATAAAATAAAAATAGTTCAACACAAACAAAATATTGTTTAAGTTTTCTTTTTTTAGCTTTAGATTTTTAAAATTGTTTACTATAGTGTAACAGGTTAAAAAAGCATTACTTTATGTAAATGCTTTATCTGAGTACTTTAAATTCTTAAGTTATTACTACATTTGTTTTAAGAAGAAGAAAAATAAAAAAATTATGAGAAAAATTTTTTTTTTCATTATTTTCATTAAATCATTTTTTTTAAGTTCGAATTTCATATGTGCAAATCTGTATAAGTGATTCCAAGCACTAGCATAAATGCAAGTTTGTATAATTTCAAGTTTTCATAAATGTGAAGCAGTTGCAAAAACTCAAGTATAGATAAATGTGGGGCAGTTGCAAAAACTATAATAAAGATAAATCTGCATAAGTAGAAACAGAATATGTGTGCCTAGAATTTAAAGCCATGCTTAGAACATATCACTTGCTTGCTGACAGTTTTAGCAGGTGGTTAAAAGCTGAGCAATTTGGCCAACTAGGTGATACTGGCTGACCAACAAAGTTTGCTGGCTTCTGGCTGCGCAAATTGCTTTGAATTATAATTAGTATTGTTTTTGACAAAAAGAAAACAAATTTAAGTTTAAATTAAGACAACCTTTTTTTTTTTCAATTAAAATTAAAAATCAAATAAGACTGATATTGTCATAAATAAAGATAGTCATGTTCATGTTGAAAGAACTTAAATTGCTTCTTCTTGAGTTCAAAATCAATCCAGTTAATGAAAACATGGACTCCACTGATACACTTGAGGTTGGTATACTAAAGTACTCTTTTGCAAGCACTGCTAAGTGTGGATACTTTCATGATGATTTCGCCAAAGCAATAAATAATCCAGTTCTTCATCTGTCATAGGTGTATGAGAGATAAATTGCTCTACTTCCAAATCAATTTGGTAATTTTTTTCTGCTCAATAATTTAATAAAATAATAACTACTAATTTAATAACTACTCTGTTTTCCACAATTAAATAATATAAAAAAAAATTAGTTTTGAATAAAATTTATTTGTGTTTCAGTAATTTTTTCCAAAACAAAAACTTATTTTATTGATGTTATTAGTTGTATAGTTGTATACCTTGATCTAATTGGGTCACTTTTATGTTTAATGCATTCTCCAATAAGCTTTCTTTTATTTTATCTCTTGTATATAATACTTTTGTGGCTGGATCTAAAAAACAGCATAGTTTTGCAGAAGTTGATAACTTAAGTCTTTGGTCAATTTTTTTTGAGCAACATTCCTTTAGTTTTTTTTATTTCATTCAAATCACAAGAATTAATTGAAAGAAGTTTTAGTATTTTGTGTTTAACTAATGGCAAAATAGAAAGCGAATATCCAGCACTGACCACAAGGGTTAAAGATTCAAATGGTTTTAAAAATTTAACCAATTCTGAAATCAAGGCTTGTTCATACTTATGTAAACAAAGGTCTCGTCTACCACATTTCTTAAGTAAAATTTCTACAGGATCTAATAATTGATTAATTGATTCCATCATAAAGAGAGCACTGCTCCATCTTGTACGTATTTGCTATTTCAGACTTTTATGCTGTCTTTTTTTGAAATTATCAAATTTTTCTTAACAAGCAATATCTAAATTATTTGCTTCAATCATGTTTGCTTCATCATAAATTTGAATGGGATATTGCTGCTCTAAATCATCAATGTCTTTCACTTCAGCAAGAATTTGAAGGTTTTTGTATAATTTTGTGTCTGCTTCATGGTGTGATTCCTCTAAAAGTAAAGTTGACTTGAAGTTCAGGCAGGTTACAATTCATCTGCATTTTTCTAACAAACATTGTGTTTCAGTACAATTATTTATGCCATCACATGTCAATATTAAATGCAAGATATGAGCCAGACAATGTTGTGGATCCTTTGAGCCTAAAAGTCTAGAGGTTTTCATCATATTTGCTGCACCATCATGCACAGTATGTAGCCTTTTATCTCTACAATACCTCTGAAAAAACTCTTGAACAATACCTTTGATAAAATTATGACAATTTTCACCTTTATGACTTTCTAAAGGCAAACCAGCCTAATGTAAATTTTTTTTATGCTAGTTTTCATTAATAATGAAACACTTCAGAACTATGTAATTAATTTTTTTGTACTAGTCAGTCCAACCATCAAATAAAATTGTTGCTGCATCAATATCTTTTAAACTTTCCAATACAAATCGCCTTAAAGATTTGTACATATCAGGTAATGCTACTTGATTCACAGCGGAACCTGTGGTAAGTTTTAACCCAATGTTTTTTGGAAAAAACTTTTTAAATCCTTCATTATCTACACAAGAAAATGGAAGTAGATCTGTAGAAAACCAAAGGAAAAGATCACGACTTAAATCATATTTTGATGAACTAGCTAGAGCTACTGCACCATTTACGTAAAAGTTGATCATTTTTCACTTTAATGGTTTGTCTGTTAATATTTTGTAAACAAGAAATAGATGATTTTTCAAATTACTGCTTGATGTGGAAATCCTAACCTTGTGAATTTTCAATAAATGACCTGCACCTGAGGACTCAACTTTTTTTTTCCTATCAAAAAACATTTGTTACAGTAATAATGTTGATTGTCGATAACTTTACAATTTTGTGTCATAGTATTTCCATACTAATGATGAATCTGTGGTTGTTATTTAAAATGAGCTGCACAGTTTAATGTTAAAATATTTTAAAGAACTGTTATGTAAAATACGAGATTTTTCTTGATCCATTACTAAGTAATACAAACTCTGTATGTGTTTAATTTGGCTAATTTAAGTTCAAAAATGTTAGAGTGATAAAAAATCTTGTTTAAATATAAAAAATGTATGTAAAAAATCATGTTTAAATAATAACAATAGATTAAGTTAGGTTTTACTTAAGTAGGTCAGCTTTTGGCAATTCATAAATATGTATATGTTTATAAATTGCCAAAATATGTATATGTTTATAAATTGCCACAATGTTTATTGAGTATATTTTTAAACGAAAAAAACAATGTATTTTTTACCTGGTGATTGCTAAACGCATGAAACTTTTAGTAGTAAAAGTTATGTAGTTCTTTTTTATTTAACCTCGTCAAAAAAAACAATTATATAGCTCTGATATCGTTCATCAAGCACTCTTGCTCACAGCAAAATAAAACTTATTTATATATATGTATATATAAATATATATATATATATATATATATATATATATATATATATATATATATATATATATATATATATATATATATATATATATATATATATAATTATATATATATATATAAATATATATATATATATATATATATATACATATATATATATATATATATATATATATATATATATATATATATATATATATATATATATATATATATATATATATGTATATATATATATGTATATATATATATATGTGTGTGTATATATATATATATATATATATATATATATATATATATATATATATATATATATATATATATATATATATATATTAAATGTTCTGATTGGCCTATAAAATACATTTGTAATTAAGTTTGTTGTTTATTGTTTTGGCCTACTATTTATTTGGCCTATAAAATTCATTTCATTGAATTTCAATTAACTCTGTTAAATGTTGTTTGTATTTGTTAATATTTTAAAACAGATCTAAACAATAAGCAATTTTATGGACATGTAAATAATGAGACAACAGAGACAGACATTTTTAGTTTTATAGGAAACTGGTAATAGAAGCCATAATATTTGAAGAAATTATTAGTGTTATGTTAACTTATAGAAACTTATTAAGTGTTTAAGGTGTTAGATTTTCCTACATCTCACATCAGCATTTTTTTTTTTTTTTGCAGTTGGCAAAGTACAGTACTATTGTGCTCATTTTTTTAATTAAAATTTTTAAATCATTTGGTGTTGCAGTTTTAAAAAAAAATGTACATTAGTAATTTGATTTTGTTTTAATTTATAGTGTTCAATTTAGATTAAGAATATGACTTTAACTTTAAAAAAAATTAAGAGTATAAATCCCATTATTTCATGTATTAATTACACAGTTACACATTTGTAAAACTTTATATATTTATATTTAAATGCAGTTAAATGTATTAAAGCTAAATTAAATATATAAATATATATCTTTATGACTATTTTTGTATGCATTTAAATTACATATGTAAATATCTTTACATATGTAATTTAAATGCATACAAAAATTTTTTGTATGCATTTAAATTACATATGTAAATAACTTTTTTAATTGGTTTTATTGTAATTATATAGTAATTAACTTCTAAAAATAAATAGAATAAACCAATTGAATTGATTGCTATTTAAAACAAAAGTAAACTGCATATTTTAAAAATAGCCATTGTTAACAAAACAAAAAATGTTTTTTTTTATTACAATGTTTTTTCATTATTTGACACTTCATTGTATATGTTACATATTATTTAATAAAATAATAATTTTTTTATAAAAATGTGTTTATAGAAATAATTGTATAATAATTCTTCAAATATTTTTTTATTGGACTCCTCAGTGTTTTTATGGTACTAAGTTGCTTTGGAAATAAGTTTATATTACACAACAGTTTCAACCTTGTAAGTTATTATTATACTTCAATAAAATGAAATGAACAATTATTTCCTGTTTTATATAATTAAGCAAAAGTTATTTAAATTTAACTTAAATTATGATTTGTAATTTCTTTTGTAAAATTTTAATATCATTGTTATAAACAACAGTTTTCAAAATGGAAGCATTAGTAAGGTATATTTATGAGGTATAATATTTTTTTTACTAAGAAGTTTTTAAGGTTGATTAATTACTAAAAGATCCTACAAAAATTATTTATGCTAAAATATTTAAAGTTATTTGGTAATTAATTTATGTTAAAATATTTTTAGTTTTTATTTAATGGGTAATTAAATTTAAAAAATATACTGATATAAATAAATTTTATATTTATTTTATGGTGTTTACTACAAAAATAACAAATAACAGTAAGAAGTTGAATTTAAATGTGCATATTTATAAAAATTACCAGCAATTATGGAAACCCACTGATATGTGTAAAATGCAACATTTGATTGTGACACATTTTTTGTAAGAAGTTGTTGTTTTTTCACAACAAATAAATTTACTAAAAATAACAATAGAAGAACATTAAAATTAATTGTTTCCTGTATATTTATTGTGTGCTACTACAGTAAAGTAAAAAGTAACAATATAAAATATGATTGATACAGATGGGGGTACTTTTTTTTAGATACTTGAAAGAGTTTCGTGTAGAACAGTGCTCACTTTTTTTACAGCACAAGTGTACTCAACATCGTCCATTTTCTTGTTTTTGCTGGCATTTTCTTAACCAAAAGCGACGCAGACCACGTAAAAAAAAAGACGGCACATTCACATATAGTCCAGATGTTTATTGTCAGCAATATAATGAAACAACTGGTGAATGTGTAAACGGTGACGAGTAAGCTGTATTGTTAGTTGACAAAGTTAATTTTTTTTTAAATACAGTATTTTTTTGATCGTTGTATAAAATGTAAATTAATTTTATATAGTTTATTTCAGTTGTCCTTTTCTACATCGTGTTGCTGGTGACGTAGAACGAAGATATCATTTAAGATATTACAAAACTTCTCCTTGTGTTTACGAGACAGATACTAGAGGTTATTGTGTAAAAAACGGGCCTCACTGTGCTTTTGCACATGGTCCTCACGATTTAAGGCAGCCAGTTTATGATATTAGAGAATTACAGATAATGGATCAAGAAGAAAAAGAAGATAATAGTAAGCAGATTGTTCCAGAAGATCCCAGATGGAATGGTAGGATTTTATGATATTGAAAATTATTTGAACACTTCAATTAATTTTTGAATGGTAACTTTTTAAAAACATTTTTAGCACTATAGTTTTTGAAAAGTTTTTTTGAACAAATTTTTTACAGATTTTTGTTTGTTTCAGATACAAATTATGTTTTATCTACTTATAAAACTGAACCATGTAAAAAACCACCAAGGTTGTGCCGCCAAGGCTATGCATGTCCACAGTATCATAATAATAGAGATAGAAGGAGAAGCCCAAGAAAATATAAATATAGGTAATTTTTTTCTTTTACATTAAGGTTTTTTATTTTTTCAATAGTTTAAATGGTTTAAATTTTTTTATTGCTAGGTCAACTCCTTGCCCTAATGTAAAACATGCAGATGAGTGGGGAGATCCTTCTACTTGTGAGAATGGCGACAGTTGTGCATATTGTCACACTCGCACTGAGCAGCAGTTTCATCCTGAAGTAAGTTTTGATTACATGTTTTAGTAAACTTATATATTTAAATAATTTTAATTTTTGTCAAACAGAATGTTGTTGTTTTTTTGTTTTTTTAATTGTTTGATAAGTTTATTTGGTAATTTTTTTTTAAAAAAAAAGAAAAATCAGTAGGCCTTTAAAAAAAACAAGTAGTCTAATCTGCCCCACAAATGAAATATTACATAAGGTAGTGTATTTCATTCAACCCCATAGTTAACTGTTTCCAATTTTAACTCAATTTTAACAAATGCTTTTGTTAAAATTGAGTTTTGTAGTTCGTTGTGTTGGTTTTAAAAGTTAAATAACTGTATTAGGAGAATTTAAAAAATTATTTTTATTTATTTTAATGTTTAATCAAAATTATTATTATTTTTTTTTTTTTTAATTTGTTCATGTATTCTTTTTTTGGTTGATATATAAAAATGCATAAATAAATAAAAAATAATTGTATAACTATTTTTATTTAAACATTAAAAAAAAAGAAAAAAAGATTTAGGAGAATTACTATTCTGCTAATATAAAAAAAATCAGTTGGAAACTCGTTAAACCAGCGCGACGAGTTATTCAGCTTTAACGTAATTGCAAAACATAAATGAAAATAATTTTCATTTTTAATTGTTCAAATTTATATTAGTTAATTTTTTTAGAGCTGTAGGTTTGAATTTTTTTTAAATTTCTTTTTTGTCCTTTGTTGGTTTTTTTTATCGCTTTTTTAATTATCTAAAAAGCCGCGGTCAAGCTTTCAAAAAAAACAATTATATAAGTGGTCAAGATTGGAGTGCGATCACCACCTTTCCTGTCCATGACTGATTATGTGGTAGTATCGCGCTTAACTTTTTTCTCCATGCAGCAACATTGTTTGTCAAGGTTTATGTTTTGGAGGGTTTTAACCACAATAAATAACTGTAGTGGCCTTTTCAGCTTTGGGGAGGTAACTAAACATTTAAAAAAAAAATACTTTAAATAACAAATTGAATTTTAAAAATTACACTTAACCAGCTATAGTTATAGAAGTTATAGAAGGATACATTGATAGTAAAAACTGATAGTAAATTTCACTTTCAAGAGTTTTTCTAAAAAAAGAAAAAAAGTTTTTATATTTCATTCATTTCATTCAGCTTTTTAAAAAAAATACTAGTCTGGTTAATGTGATTTTGTTGTTAATAAATGACATCAATACAAATAAGTACCTAAAATCAAGTTATAAAAGTTATGTCATATATTCCCTTTTGCAATTAATTTTTATGAAAAAAAATGTCTTTTATATATAAAATTTTATAAAACATATAGTAACTGTTTTGTTTATGCAAATCACACTAGCATTTGCTAAATAAATAAGTAACCTTCATTTAAAACCTTATAAATAACATAGAGAATATGTGTGATGACCTTTATTAAAACAATTACACTTTTACATGCATTAATATTTTTAAACATATATGAAATACCATCAAAGGATACTTGATCATCATTTTATTATCAAGATTTTCACAGATTCGTCTTCCTCACCAAATTGTGATCTAATGTCATCATTATCATTACTTGGTGTATCAAATTCTTCATCTCTTAAAATTTCCACAGCTTCTTCTTTCTCACAAAATGATTAACTAATGTCATCCTAGGTTTTTTGCTGTTCCTTTAAGTTAGTACAATCGTATTGTATATTTTAAGTTAGCAGTTCCAAGTAGTGAAACTGGTGGTTTCCATTTCAGTTCAATTCATAAGAGTTTTAAAGTGAGTTTATGTAACTGCTCTGCATTTGGTCTAGTAACACTATCTATTGCTAAAAAATGAGTATATGGTTTTTCATTAATTGCATAACGAATTTATAATACCCATTGTTCTAATCTGTTAACATCCATAGTTTCGTCTACAATAATGCTAAAAAACCTTATAATTATAAAAATATTTTCTTAGATCACTTAAAAATATATCCTTGATAACTCTATCAAATTGAAATCTGGATTTTAACAAACAATACTTCTTTACATCAATTTCTTGCAATGATAAAAAAATATTTGTTTTTTAAATAACTTTTCTTGTAAAAAAAAACTGATTATGGTTAAAAATAAAAGCAGCACAAATTAACAAAACATCGTATTTACAAAAAGGAACAAAATAAATCTTTTGCACAAAACTTATTTACAAATAAAAAAACGTAACTAAAATAATCGTGACATAATATAAAATATTATGTTAATTATCTTATGACATCATACTTATCATTTAATGTTTCATATTGTATGACGATTTTTATTTGTTTTTATTTCTTAAATTTTTCTTTTATTTTATAAATTAATTTCTCATACAGGTTGTCCATATTGTTTATGTAAATTAATTTCTCATATAGGCAGGTGTGTGGAGTCGTAAAAAAAAAGTACTGCTCCAACTTCAACTCCAAAGCAAAATTTTTGGAAAATTCTTTGAATTCTTTAAAATATAATACGCAATAAGTTAAAAAAATTTTTTTTTGCTAAATTTATGAAAAGTTCTTTGAGGTTTAGTATGAATACAAGGTTAATTGAATATTTTGTACATGCACGTGCAATACCGAGAAGTTTTACTATTGGAGTCGAAGTCACGATTTTTTTTAGCAACTCCGTAAAAATGTTTTGATTCCGCGACTCTGACTCCACACCCCTGCATATAGGGTTGTCCATAAATTACATCATGATGTTTTTGACAGATTAGGATTATTCTCATAATTTATAATTTAATCTACCTTTTGCACCCTTATAGATGCATTGTACAATATCAATGTAAAGTTGTATAAATTAACAAATAATAAATAACATCTAAGGAAAAAGTCTGAAAAAAGTAATGTCTGAAAAAGTAAATGTCTGGAATACTTTATATATTTAGCATTTTATGTATTATACAAATTTACTTTTCTTATTCTGGCTTATTAACTATTAAATTAATTTAAAAAAATACTTTCAGACTTATTAACTTTGACTTATTTATACTTTTTGTTTATTTTGCTGTTATTATGTATTATCCTTACATTTTTTAAATTATTTGATTGATTTTAGTCTTGAGACTATCCACTTAAAAATGTTTTAATTTCATAAATGCAATTTAAGTACTTTTGAGTTAAAATTGAGTTTAAAATGTTTTTAATTTGAATTTTTTTTCTCATTTTAATATTTTTTTATTTTATTTTATTTATATCATTTTATTTTATTTCTCTATTCTCTTTTTAATTCAAAAAAAAAAAAAAAAGGTTTTATCAATTCTAATTCTAGTTTCAGACATTAATCAAAGTTACTCAGCGTTGTTAAGGAGAGATCCAAATAATTTGCATTTCTTATAAACAAAAATTTACATTTTTAAACTTTTTTAAACATTTTTGAATTTTTTGTGTTTTCCACTTATTTTCGACTAATTACTATTATATATTTTTAAAAAGTAAAATTTAGGCTTTTCTATATAATTTTTTTTTCTATAAATCTTCTTTCAATCAAAGCATCAAGCAAAACAAAACTACCACTAAATTACATAAAATGCGACGGGGCAGCGTCATAAAAATAGCTGAAACAAATGTGTTAAGTATTTACATTCCAATAATGTTTCTTTTATTCGAAAGTAAAAAGACTACTTGTTTACAGCATTAAAATATTCAATGAATGACTAAAAACCTCTTATTTTATCTTTTCATAAACAGTAAAAACATTAAAATCGAAGTTTTCACATTCGTTTTCACTCAGGAATTTACTTCCATAATCTCTTCATAGTCGTTTGAATAAATTACTAAACAGAAACATTTCAGCTTTTATATAACTTTTGTTTCATAGTATTAAGCTGAAACTTCAAATTCGTAGATAATAAAATCACTGAATATTTGTAAGCAATATAAAACAACAAGCGTCATGATTTAAAAAAAAAAAAATTAACCAATCAAAACGCATTCAAAATAAAACGGAATTTTTTGAAAACGAAAGGGCCTAAATGCTAAATTTTTTTTTAGATCTCTCCTTAACTACGCTGTGTACAAATTTTTTCTTTAGATCTCTCCTTAACTACGATGTGTACAAGTTTTTTTCTTTAGATCTCTCCTTAACTACGCTGTGTACAAGTTTTTTCTTTAGATCTCTCCTTAACTACGATGTGTACAAGTTTTTTCTTTAGATCTTTCCTTAACTACGCTGTGTAAAAGTTTTTTCTTTTTTTTTTTTTTGACACATACTATTTTTATTCTGTTGAATTTTTTGCAAAATTTTTTTTTGAATATATTTTGAATAAGGTTGTTTATAGGTTTGATCTTTGTCATAAATTTCACTGCATGTAAAGGTTTTATTTTCTGTATTTTGTGACATAAAGAATTTTTATTTCACTTCATGTTTTATTTTGTATATTTTGTAACTTAAAAATTTTTTATTTTGCTGCATGTTTTACTTTGTAACCTATTATAGTGAACATGGTGTTTTAATAATTTGTTGTTATTTAATTTATTATTTTCATTATTTAAAGTTAAAAATCATTTTGTTATGGTGTTTTACTGCATTTATGCTCAATTGTCCTAGTAAACAATCTTATATAGTACCATAATTTTGTATTCTGCATTGTCTTATTGAGTAGTTTTATATAATGACAGTTTTAAATTTATACTACATTCTTTGATTTAACAGTTTAATATAACAACATAGTTTTACATTTGCCATACATCAAAGCAAAAATTTGAAAATTTGTTTTATGTTTATCATTTGGTAATGGTTTGTATTTTTATTACAAAATTATCAACGTGTTGATTTCTGAGGGGTTTTGAAACTTTCGAATATTTTAGTTTATAGTTATTTATTTTTTTTATTTTTTAGATTTATAAGTCAACTAAGTGTAATGATATGCAACAAACAGCACAATGTCCTAGAGGACCTTTTTGTGCATTTGCCCATATAGAACGTATGTTAATTTAATTTTTTTTCTTTTAATTAAAACTTATTTAAGAAAATTATATAAAAATTTTTATTTTCTCTTTAGAAGATCAAATCAATGCAATGGAAGCTGCAAAAGGTTCTATATCTATAATATTGGATAAAGAGGTTTTTTTAACTTTATTAAATTACCTTTCTTTATTTTTTTATTTTTTATTTTTTTTTTGTTGAGTTAAATATATATTATGCACAATGTCCTAGAGGACTGTTAACAGTACATCATGGCTTTCTATACTAGATTTTAATTTTCATTTACTAGTGTTAGAAAGTTATGAAAACTTTGTAATCCCACAAAAATATTTTATGATCATAATTACAAAAAAAAAATGTTTTTTTGTACAAACTCTGTGGTTGGTTTAGATTTTTTTTGTTGACTCCAATCACAGCCGTTTTTTGCTAAACGTCCTTATTTAACATAATTATGATCTTTAAAATGTTGCTTCATGTCTAAAAGTTACTTAAATATTAAAAAAAAAAAACTTACATGTACCACTAATGTTTAAACAGAGCACTTTGACAACAAAATCTTTTAATTACTTAAAAAACTTTATTACCTTACTTGTATATCACTTCAAACAAACTACATAATTTCTTATAAGGACAACTTTGTTTCTGGCACTATAAAAATTTTTTTTTTCATAAAAATCAGACAAAGCGGAACTATTAACAATTGGGCTTCCAGTTTTGAATCAATCTATTAGAAAAAATACCTATAAATTTTTCTCACAACAAATAAAATTGAAAATTAAACTTAGTTTTAATATCTAGAAAAGTTAAAGATTAAAGTATTATGGTTTTTTAGGTGTTTTTTACCATTTGAACATAATAGTAGAACTTTAGTTTTTCAATTATTATATTTTTAAAAATTACTTCATTTCAAATAATTTTTTACCAATATCTACAACCTATACTCTCTAAATGATAAAAGGTACGGAGTTTAAGCCCAATAATACCATGTTCAACTTTCTCCTCAAATTGGCCTCATTTGTAGAGATTTGTATTTTGAAGTTAAAGTGTTTATCAAATGCTTTGGTTTATTTTAGTTTAATATATATGGTATTTAAAAACAAAAAACTTAAAAAATCATTTGAATGGCCTTAATTATTTTTGAAAGAAAAAAAAAATAATCATCAAATCAAAGCAGCATCACTATTTCTGACTATTTCTAAACTAACCATAGTCAGTCAACTGTTTTTCCCTGCACTTCAACTCTCCCAATCATGTTTTCCCAAATCATGCGACTCATACAAATTATAAGACTTCTGTCAACTGTTTCTTGCTATTTAACACTAATCTTTGTTTTCTAGAAACTTCCAACATAATAGTTGTTGCTTGCAATATTATTGGGAGTGAATTAAATTATACAGAAAAGCAAAATATTTAAAATATTGAATTTAATCAGTACAGTTTTATCAGACAAATATAAAAATGAAAAAGAAAAATAATGAAAAAAGTATTGATCATATCTTTTTCTTTGCATTTTCTAGATTTTCTAGACTTTGTCAGATAGCTACAAGATGTTATGATATTTTGTCAGATAGCTACAAGATGTTATGATTTTTTGCAATTATAATGTCCATAGCTATATAGTGATAACATATCTTTATTTATTTATTTTTATTTTTTTTGTGTGAACACCTGTTTAACGATTGTTATTTGTTTTGTTATTTAATCTCTTTTCTCAGTTTTTTCCTTACTTGTCTGAAAAGAAAAAGAACCAAGGTTGATAGCTTGGTTCTCACTTGTTGAAGAGAAAAAGAACCAAGTTTGATAGCTTGGTTCTTACTTGTTGAAAAGATGAAGAACCAAGTTTGATGGTTCTTTTTCTTTTCTTGATTCTGAGCAAATTTTTTTCCAAGGTAAAAATTATGAGGTATATTTATGCTTTTTTTTTTCAATTTCATTTGAGTTGGTAAAGTATTAATGATAAAAATTATCATTTTTAGCTTATGCAACAGAACCAACAGGCAGCTTACTCAAGTACACAAAACTCCCCTTTACCTTCTCCTGCTGGTTTACCAAATAATCGACCAAAGCGTTCAGCTTCTTTATCTGGTCCATATGCCAAAATTGTTGAGGGTACAATTTCAAGTATGCATAACGTTGTCTTGAGTAGCAGTGCTCCAACATATGAAAAAGCACCAGGGTCAGGACGAAGAAGTAACAGTCGTGATAGTGACCAATGTCAGGTTAGATTTTTGAATAAAGCATTTATGGGTTTTTATCATTTATGGGTTTTATGTTTGCATTTTCGTTTGCATAAAATCATATCTTGAATCTGTATCTCAGATAAAAATACAAATGTATTTATTTAGGCGTATAAAAATTTATGCTTGGTAAAAAATGCCAAAAAAAGATTTTTTTAGAAAATTATAAAGTAGACAAGTCATATGGCAAGTCATATGTATAGATTATACTTGTATAAATCATATGTATAGATTATACCTGTATAAGTCATATGTATAGATTATATCTGTATAAGCTTAAAAGATTAAGATTTTTAAATATTAAATTGCTGTTCTTTTTTCTTTTTTTTTTTTTTCTTTTTTTTCAAAATCCATTTTTCATAAATAATGAGGAATTTATACAATTTATATTTTACTTTACAATTTTAGTAAATTTAGTTTGCTAAATTTACTTCAACAGGTTAGAGGATAGATGTTTTTTACATCCTATACATTTTTAAACATGATAGTTAAACTATTTTGTGTTTTACTAATACTTATTGACTAGATAGGTTTAGATATGTTGATTTTACACATTTAAGGCCAGTTCACTTTTTTATGTAAGAATTTTAATTGAAGAAAATCACAGTTCATAAAAATTTTGAATTTTGTAAGTAAAATTTTTGGTTAAGTGTTGCTTACCTGTTTGACAGCATTCTTTCATAAACAAATTTTATCTATAGTCTAGGCTGCATCTCACAACTAGATTTTTTTCAGTAAAAATGTTTGCATTTGTTACCTTTTGTTTTTATCACAAGTTATTTCAATCTTTTTTTGAAGAATATTAATTGTATTTCATAGTTTCAAACTAACTTAATAAGTATGACATTTGTTTTTTAACAATATGCTAACTTTCTTGTTTATTTAAACAAATTTTCTCTTTCCGAAGTTCTTAACAAATTTTTTTCAAGTATAATTTTTTCTTTCCCAAATTTTAAACAAACTTATAAAGCATTGTTTATTGAGTCTTTAATATTCTATTTTACTTTGAAAGAATGTCAAAGTAAAATGAGCTTTTTTATTTAGTTGCAATGCTTTTCTTCCTCCACAGGATAAACTCTTTTCTAGCAGTTTTTATAATAAGGAAATGAAAAGTTAACTTAGTGACAAAATCATCAAAAGATGTCTTAGAACAATTCCATTCTTCATAATCTTTGTCTGCAAAAGATAGCGATTTGTTTAGGATCTTGTTTTTGACATCAACATCCAGATTTCTTTCAGTATGAAACAAAACCACAAGCTAGGGAGCTTGATATCAAGTGTTTGCAAGTAGAGACAGTTGGTCATAGATCTGGCCACACGGTGAGCTTCTTGACGGAGAAATTATGTATCTATGTGCCCTAGAAGTACAGCAGTAGCTGGCGAGTATGCATGTTATCTTCTTTCTGAAAAGTGTCTCTGAAGTCCTGTATTTTAGAATTCTTAAGTTCATATTGCAAGATCATGCTAAAGACTACCTGGGCTGAAAGTATCTTTAGACCATTTAAGTTTGATAATTCTTTCAAGTTAACTTTGTACAAAACAAGCTCAGAGTTGATCTTGAAGTCTTAAGCTCCTCAAGGTCAATACCGCCTATAGGTGTCCTAAAGCAATAGCAAATTTTGTGTACAAAATAAACAGAAAATATTTTTTTAACAAATTTAGCTATTACCTGGTTTATTTGCAAATGTTAAGACAGTAAAACCTTTTGAGCCTTTATCCTGTGGTTGGAGAGAAGCTTGGTGGTATAAATTCTTGTTGTTGAAATCGTTTTCTTTTCAATGCAGCCTGCCTTCTTCAGCTAACTTTGGTTTTGTATTTTAGTATTTATTTTCTGAAGACATTGTCTGAAAATTGAAGTATTCTGTAGTTAGTAACAGTGAGCTCAAGTAATGGTGTTAAGATGCACTCCAAAAAAAAAAAAAAAAAATGCGCATCATACAAAGCATGTTTTTTATTATATCTATTCCATACTGAACAAGTTAATTTAAAAAAAAGTGTCTTAAACATTTATATATTTTATACTTTAGATATATATTTTTTATATTTTATATATGTATATATTTTTTCTGAATTAAACATATAAATGCTTTGTTTTTGTCAAAAGTTAAAACTGTCACATAAATTGGGAATATTAGGTTTAATCACTTTTTAGTAGTAATGTTTAAAAGTTTTGTTATATTGTTTAAAAAAACTTTCTTTTAGCTTTTTTAAGTTAACCATAGGGTTGACTAAATTTTAACTTAAGGTTTAAACTTAAAGAGCTGAAATTGTCAGTAAAAGTTACTTATAAATATTGATAATAGTTTGCACATATATATGAAGGCTTAAAAATGCTCCCTGAGTTCTGAAGTTTAGTGTGAAAGTTTCTGATCAGATCTGAAGAAAAAAACATAAACAAAATTTTTTTTTATAAAAAAAAGGCTCTGTAAAGGTTATTTGCAATTTTTACTATCATTTTGTGAAAAAAAAAATCTTTTTTCTTTCACAAAATCATGCTTAAAAAGTTTCACTGCTTAAAAAATTTCACAAAATTTCTCTAAATTTAAGACTTTTGACATTCTTATGACTGTTGTTGTAAAATTTGAGATACATTGTGTTAATGAACTTATGCTAATGGAAAAATGGTACACTTCTTTTTTATTAAAACCTTTTTCTTGGCAAAAAAAAATTTGATATCTTTGGTTTGGTTTAGCCCAGGGATTATCTTTTTCCGGATATTTCCGGAATTCCGCATATTTTTCTCAACTTTTAGTTTTTACGGATATCAAAAATGTTTTCTATGCATACAAGTTTAGGAATATATTTTTTTTAATATATTTGTTTTTTAAGCTTTTTCACTCATTACTCATACAAAACTTAAGAAAAGTTAAAAAAAAAAAATTAAAAACAGCTCAGCTAAAATTAAAATTATTAGGAATATTAGGGAAAATATATTTCGGATATTTTACCCTACTGATTTTCCGGATTTTTAAAATATGACCTGGATGATCTATGGTTTAGCCTGACTTGTTGCAGCATTGGAATATGCTTTGAGCCGTGATTAGATTTTACCCTAATTATGACTTTTTAAGATATTTTAAAAGATACTTTTAAGATATTTTTAAGAAATTTTAAAACCTTTTAATCAAATTCACTATTTAAATCAGTTTGTTTTTTTTTATTTGTATTTTCTTCGTTTTTACAGCGCAAGATTTAAAAATTGTTCTTTTTGTTTAGTCATTTTTTGGTCCTACTATGTCTCAAAGTTCACAGGGATCGGAACCACGTACACCATCTAAAGCCATGTCAGCTGGCGCTCAATCTTTTTATCCTGAAGCTGCATTTACTGACGAAACTGCTCTTGATAATGCACTTTTAGATGCTATCTCTAATATAGATAATACTTTTGATTTTGATTTTCCTGACAATGCATCTGTTGGATCCTCATTGGGTGGAGCTGGTAGTACTGGAGGTATAGGTTTTAATACTAGCAGTTTTTTAGAGCAATTTTCGAATGGGACAAATCCTGTTTCAATACCAGGGACAGAGATGCAACACTCATTTACTTCACAACATTCTCAGTCTCCAACTTCTCCAAATATTATTTCAGGAACAAACAACAGCTTTTATTCAAACCAGGTACTTTCTTTTTGTTTTATTTAGAGTTTTATAATAAGTCTTGAATTATATATGATCAAAATGTGGAATAACTCATAAGTGTATTTTTTTTTCCGGAAATTTTTATTGAAAAGAAATAGTTTAAAATTAGGTTATATAAAAATATATAAAGTATAAATTATTTAAAAGTTACTTTTCTTTAAAGACTGCTTCTCGTGCAAGTTACTTACGCAGTCCTAAAAACTCTCAACTAGGAATATATGAAATGCTTCAATCTCCAAAGTTTAACTCTCCATCTTTGGCCTCCCCCTTAGCCTTAAGTAATAGTTTTGACATTCAAAGGTCATCTGATGAAATTATTAGTTTACGTTCAAGACTTGCATCATGGGAAGAATCATGGAATCAAGCAAAAATAGCATGTGATGCATGGAAAAGAGAAGCATCAGAGCAAAGTGATAAAGCTCAATCAGCTGAGAGAGAAAAAATGCAGATCCTGATAAAATTAGGAGAGGTTACTAAGTTTATTTTATAAAAAATACATGCTTTAAATATGATAAAATAATATATACTATATTATAAATACTGTATTTGTTTTATAAATGCTACTCAAATAAGATTAATATATTATAAATGCTATTCAAATAAAATATATTTCGTTATTTTTAAAAATATTTTTCAGGCTGAAGCAGAAGTAAGATACCTTAAACTAGAACTGGAAAGAAAAAATGGTGGATCATGTATTCATCTTCTCAAGCAAATTACAGATTTAGATAATTTATCAATTTTAGATTTGAAGCAAATATATAATCAGTTAAAAAATGATACTGATAGACTTGAAAAGGTATTAAAATTATAGATTTATAAAAACAATAAAATTGATTCTACTAATAAGCATTATAAATTCTTTCATTTACATATTTTATATATGTGTGTAATTTAGAGATAATTAGGACATTTAATATATGTATAGATAATAAGCAAGCGTGAATCTATGAAATGTATACTGTGCGAAGAAACACCTCGTTGTGTGGTGACATATCCATGTACTCATTGTGTAATGTGTGGAACATGCGCTGCTCAACAGGTTGAATGTCCGTTTTGTAATCAAGCTATTTCACAAAAGACCACTATATTTATCCCGGTGTGATAGTATCGTAATTACTCAATTTGATCATCCAATGTGATATGGATGTTTAGGAATCTTTTTAAATTTATTAAATTAATAATGGTGGCCAAAATAGTCTTATTTTTGTTTTATTTTGCTTTTTAGAATTAAATGATGTTAAAAAAAAAATCAGTTATGCCGTAAATTTTCTATAACCTATTTTAAATCGCAAAAACACTTATTTAATATTAGAGAAATTGTCTTTTAATTTCTATCGTAACTTAAATTTTTTTTTTTTAAATTTAAATATTTTTATGTGTTAAGTGGTGTCTAAATTTTTTTTTGTTAAGTGAAGTCTTTAATATTTTTCCTTTTTTAAGTAATATCTACAACAATTTTCTTTTTAAGTCAAATAATTTCATATTAGAAAGCACCGACTTCTATATTGGGAAAAATAAAAGTAGCAAATTGTCTTTTAAAAAATTATGAAATGAAGAAATAATTAATTGTAGTGCTTGGTGGTGCATTTATTTTTTTATGATTTTTATTTGCCTTTCTTTTGATTTGTCTTTGTCAGTATTGTTTTTTATATATGCATATAGTTAAATTTTTTTTTTTTTTTTTTTTTTTTTTTTTGTAATTTTCTTCTTTTTATATAGTTTTTGTTTTGTTATCATGTCTTTAAAAACAAAACGTTAAATATAAAAATCAAAGAAAAGTGTGATAAAGTGTAAGAAAAACTATTTAGAGTTCATTTCAAATGATTTGTTAATTTATTTTCTTATGTTACTGTTTGTAAAACTAAATTCAAACTTATGTATAGTTTTGTCCATAGTACTTGTACATTTATTATCTTATAAATAGTTTGTTGTGCTATATTGCTTTAAGACGTCTTTTATTTCAAAGAGTTTCTTTGCTCTTCTTAAAGCTTTAATTTTGAGTTTTCTCAATTTTTTGAAGTTATATTCTTGGAAATCATCTTGTTTAAAAGCTCTGTAAGAATATTTTTATTTTCTCTTCAGCGTTCTTTAATAATCAAGCTGAGTTACAAATTAAGATAAATTTTTTTTTTGTCTTAGCTAACTTGTAAATTAGGAATTTTCAAATTTTATGAAATTAACGACCTGTGGTTTATCTAGTTTTTTTATATTTTGCACTTTTTCTAGGAGTGTATAAGACTCTGAAATGGGTGTTTTAAATTTATTACACATTTTTTATGAGTCTTATAGACTCCTGAAAATATGAAAGAGTGTATATAGTTCATTAAGTTTTAAAAGGTTCGTATAAAAATAGGTATATAATAAAAAGAAAACGATGTACACAAGTGTTGTTTTTTATTTGTTTGTTCCTTTTTCCTTTATCAAGCTATTTATTTTTTGTAAGTCCTAATATAGTTGGTCAACTAGTCTTTAATGAGATATTTTTTAAAGTTAAGAAGATGAGAAAAAAAACTTTTTTTTTTAATCTTATCTTCATAACTTTAAAAACATCTTTTTTTCGTACATAAAAAAAAATATTTTTTTCGTATTTTTATCGTTGTAAAGTAGAGCTTTGGACCAGAGCTTGAATTTTGACGCAGTTAAATACGTAACAATTGTCAAATTTATGTTACAACTGTCAAAATTTAATTCTTGTTTAAACATAATTTTGAGGTAGTCTTTCTTTTCAAATCTCTATTCCAACGTTGAGTATCCTTGACGTCCGAAAACCGGGATTTTAGGAAGTAGGCAAATTGGGATATATAGGGATAGGCGCTTCGCAGTTTACATGCATCGACTGATTTATTTAGCCATAGGCACAGTGAGTGTGCAAACATCGACTGAAGATTTGGGTTTCATGTTTGCGGACTTGAAGGAGACCGTCGGAATAGAGGTTTGATAAGAGAGCCTACCTAATTTTGAATTCTGAACTCAGAATAAACCCGAGTTCAGGTGATGTCAGATTTTATGTATTTAATGTGGTAGGGTTAAAAAAAATTTTTTAAAATCGCTTGTTTTTTATTTCTACCTTTTTTTTTGAAAATTTATTTAAATTTGATTTACTGAAAGAATTTTACAAAGAGTACATTACATCTTTATTTTTTAGGTTTTTATTCAACCGCATACAACCATCTAACCTTAGTAACAGTAAACAATTTTGTTTTACCTTGGTATTTGTTCGGAAAGTCAAAATCCGGTTATTTATGTAGAAGAGCGCTGTACTAATCTTAAATAAAAACAGTTTTTGCACTAAGTTCTCCACAAATAACCGGATTTTGACAACCCTAGTATTTACCCCAAAAACATCCTATGTATTACTTCATTATGATTGAAACATTTTCAGTAAGCACAAGACGTGTTTAACACGTCTAAAGAACGTATAGATAAATTTTCAAATGTGTTTTAGTTGTTTAGAATATGTCTTGTGCTTACTGCCCAGTGGGCACAAGACGTCTAAAACTCGTCTTGTGTCCGCTGGGTGGAATTAACCATGGAAGTTTATCAAACCGCAAATATCATAGCAATTTCAAGCCGCCTCAGGAGTATGCTTTTAACTGACAATAAAAAAAAACGAGTTCACTGGACAAAAGATTACGAAAATTCATTGAAATGCTTTTTATTAAAACATGAAAAAAAAAATTATTTAAAGATACGCTACTAAAAAAACTCGGTAATTAAATAGAATCACTTTGTCTTAAAAGCATATATTAGTTTAAGCTTTTCTTGTTTCAAATCGTAACACAACATTTGATTAAAAAGACAGCTAAAACAATTTTTAAATTGTTACAAAAAAAATTTCATTAGTTGTATATCATAATTCCATTCATGCTTGAAATAATCCGTTCATTTAATTTAAAGTTTAAGAAAAAGTTGTTATTTGCCGTTTCTTTATCGCCTTTTTTTACTTGAATATTATTGGCAAACCGTCAAAACACTATTTTTAAATTATTAAAGTGTTTAAGTACAGTCTTGATTTCGTTTTCTTTTTATTTACGAAACAAAAGGTTACAAGCATAGTCCCAAGGCATTTCAATGGGATTGAACCTCCATCTATTTTATACCATGAATTAACCAATTAAAAAATTGCAATGGTTAAAAATCATAATTTAAAATAATATTGTAACGTGTGGCAGTTTTTTGTGGCAACTCTTGTGTATGCTGTTTTGTTTTTATGTTGTCGACCTTTTTACATTTTACTTCTCAGATTATATATTAAATGCTTTAAAAACACCATAAAAGCTTCTATAAAATTTTTAACAAAAACAGATAAGGGAAATCATTTTTCTGGAAATTGTTGTACTAATGCAACAGAAAGGTAGCAACAAAATAATCGAGGTATTATTCAGGCAGCAAGTGCAAGAAAAATCATGCCATTGATAAATAAAACTGTAGATAATTATTTCAAATTAATTTTTTTAATTTTGTCGGATTTAATGGAAAGTGTTGATTGTTACAGTGTTGTTGCTATTGTTGATAATCTATTTATGTCCATTAGGTACCAGCAATTTTCGATATTAAGTTGCTTCGAGCTGGACTAAATAGATTATAAGAAAATAATTGTTAACTCAAAAAATAAAAAAAATCTAAAGTTAACTAGTTATCTTACTTGAAGTCTTAAATCTATTTAAATCTTATTTTTTGAAATAAGCTTGAAAAATCGACATAAATACTTTAAAGACGTCTATTGAAGAAATACGTCAACAGAATAAGAAATGTGTCATGAAAAATAAGTAAACGTAAACAAAACGAAAACTTTATAGCGGCTTATTTATTTTTTTCTGCATTAAGTTAAAGTTTTAATCTAAAAATCTGAATGTATTTTTTTTCTAACTAAAAAACAAAAATATCTAAATCAAAATAAGTTACAACATATAAAACCGTGTTTTTTATAAATGTTTTATTTACTTAAGTTCATCTAATTATATGGCTTTTATGTAAAACTACTCATTTTTACAGGATCCAAACATGTCTAAAAAGTTATAACAATTAAAAATAAATTATTTACGTTTCATTATATGGACGTCTTTAAACGAAACGGAATTAAACGTTGTTTTTAACTAAATCTTGTAAAGAATTGTCAAATTTATATAGAAATAAAAACCTACCAAAGGATCCAAAATCGAGAAAAATTCCGTCGGAGTCGAGAAAAAGTCTTGATAATGTTTTGTTAAAAAATAAAAAATTAAACTATCTAATTATAAGTTGATTATTAAACATTGTTCTTGTATTTATTTTCTTAATATTTTGTATTTAAATATATAATTCATTATAAGTTAAATTTTTTTTTTATTTCTTAGTACTTAAATGTTTTTTTTTTATCACAATTCTTTGACGAACAGGTTTTATCTAGCAAATGGTTTGAATTCTGTAGAGGGATAGTTCAAATTTCAAAATTACTTTAGATTTCACACCATTTGCTTTATATTATTTTAACTTATCGGTGAAGGTCTTGATTTTTTTGGCTTTTTAGCTGCAAGCGTGGCTTTTAATTTAAAACTGCCTAAACATTTAAAATATTTTTTATTTTATTTTAAATATTTAGTTTAGTTCCTCGAGTGTTTTTTTTTTTTACATCTTCTAAGTTGTAAAAAAACACATCCTAAAATAATTTTATCGTTTCAAAAGCACTGTTCCATCTAATGCGGTTAACGAGCAACAGTTTTTTTATCACGTAACAATCGGTTAACTTGATGTAGAACTTCTTATCAAAACAACGAATATTTCAAGAACTTAATTAGTAACAAGTATGCTATCATAGGCAACCACTGCTCTTATGATGGCATAGGGAAGGATGGGGCTGGCTAGGATCAAGGGTAACTTGGCGATTTAATTTAATCTTGAGTCTTCCCTCAGAAAAGCGAGAAATTACTCGGAACCATCCTAATTTACCACTTCATGCTATACAGCAGAAACCCTGTAAAGTTTCGCTCGTGCGCATAGGATATATTGCATTTTATGTATTATTAGGAGCAAAGAAAAAATTTTTGGAGCATCGATTTCTTTTTACTTTACTTAAAAATAAATTTTTCTGGTAAAAAAAAAAGGTTTTTCCAACTCGTCAATATTGCAACACACCCAACTCGCCAACATGCCTTCTTGAAAAGAAATCATCATTTTCATTAAAATAAGCTGTGTCTGCCTTGTTCAAAAGATAAAATTAAA